TGTGAAAAAAAATATCACTAGTGACTGGTTTTATTTTCATCCATAAGGAATAAAGGATGAAACTGGGAGGCCAAACTGGAGGCACAGGCTCCAGACAATGCTGGATGTGCAGAGCAGGAGGTTGTAGCTCTCCTGGTGCTCACTCCTGTGGGTTTTCCCCACACAGGAGTGCAAAGTGAGTGTGAACCTGAGTGTGTGTGCACCACCCAACAGCTCCTTGGGAAACAAACCCAAGGTCTGGACAGTCTTGATGGTACAGGAGTTGGTCCAGCTGACTGAAGCACATCCCTGTGCAACAAGACACACTGTTAAACCTTAACCACCATCTCCAAACCATCCCATGACTCACAGAGGCCTTTTTATTCCTTGGAGGAATATCTGAGCTGTATTCCTCAGATACAGTTGAGGTGAGGGGGGAACAGCCAGGCTGTTGGCTGAAACATGGTGGTGGATTTCTGAAGATGCAGAGAACAATAGTGAGAGTCTGCAAGCAGCCATATCCATGGGGAAAAAACCAGCAAGCAACTGCTAGAAACCCATCCTATTCCAGGAAAGCCAAGTATAAAAACATGAATATCAGGAAGATATTGTTAAGAAACACACTCTCGGAACCCTTGCAACCTGCTGTGGGTTTCAGTGCTGGGCAGTGCAGCCAGAACTTGCCTGGTGCCAGCTAGAAAAAGGCAGCAAACGTGAGGGAGAGGGTGGAGGTTTGTTCCCTGGATCCTGCTGCAGATGCCAGAGTTCCTGTTTGAAGGAGCGTTTGGTGTGTTTGAATGTGTGTGGTAACTTCAAGTGAGGGTCTATAAATAACACAGAAGCTGAGCACACTCTGAAGGCCCTATTTTAATCAAGGGTTTTCTAACTCTGAGAGCAATGGGAAGTTTGAAACAAGATTTCCAGCAAGGTTGTAGAATTTACTTCACGAAGTGTTTTTAATTAATAGACAAATTCCTGCCCAGGATGAGCCACATCTGTAATGCTCCAGCTGTCAAACTGGCAGAGGTTTAGGGAGCTGTTGAACATCAGCTTTTTGGTTCCTCAGATGCACCTGGATTGCCTCGGATCAGCTCGTCAGCAAGAATCAGCATTTTGGGGTGAATACACAGTGGAACCAGGGCAAGTCTGGGCAGGAGCTTGTAGGAAACTGAGCAGCCAAAGATGCCAGGAAAAGCCACTGAACCCCCAAAATGGGCTGGGGTGAAGGTGGAAAGGACCCACAGGAGTAACCGGGTGGTGGGGAAGATCCCAGGGGGGTAAATGGTCAAAGGAAGGAAGGAAAAGAAGATTCCCTGCCCTCGGTCTCCCTCACAGCAGCAAACTCTCCCCAGGGAAAGCAGCAAAGCCCCAGGCAGGAGCTGACAGGCACCGTGGCCTGACAGAGGCCAGAGCCCTGGCCTGCAGGTTTAGCTCAAACAAAGAGGTTTTTTCCTCCCAAGCAGGGTCTGACCACCCTGCCAAGGCTACACTGGGCTTGCACCAGGCTGCAGCTCTGAAATGGATCCCTGGAACAGAGTCAGCTCCTCAGAGGCCTGGAAAATATTCCCTGTGCTCTGGCTTGTGCTGTGGAAGGCTCAGGATTTGGCCAAGACATAGTCTGGAGTCAACAGACCCCCCTCCAGACCCACCAAACAACTAATATCCTCCTCAGAGACTTCAGACCCTCCTGTTCAACAAGTGATAAATCAGTTTTTGCAGCCAGGCCCTGGTGAGCTGGGTGGCAGTGGCAGCAGCACGTGGCACACACAGGGCTGCAGGGATGGGGAGACCATTTTAGGCAATGTCTGAGCACCAGACATGGCAATTCAGGGCTCCCTGGGGCCTGGGTGGATTGATGCTGGGCTGGCACCGTGTGTGGAGCTGAACTGTGCAGCTGCTGGAGGGAAAGAAGAACCTTTCAGGCATCAAGTTATGACACAAGGAGCAAGGAAAGGCCAGGATGGAGCAGGTCGGAGGGGCTGTGAACATCCCTATAGCCATGATGGAGGTGCTCAGCCATTTATCAGCAACTGTGAGAAACTCTGGAGCCTCTTCAGCCTCCTGGGCTGCTTGGAAGGCCCCATGCTCTGCCAGGGTGGGGAGGGGATGGGGCACCCCAGCTCCCTGGCATGGTGGGCAGCAGGGATCATCTGTACTCAGCTGAGGCTGGAGATGGGATGACAAAATGACACTTCCAAGAACACAGGCTGGTTGCTCCAGGAGAACATTAAGCAGATTAGGTATTGTAGTTGCTTAATTCTCCTCTGGCTGGGAACCATAAAAGGTTATTGCTGCAGGGAGAAGCCTCATCCGAGGAATTCCCAGGGCAGAGCTGGGGAGGAAGCGTTGCTGGCTGGGCAGGTCCCTGCACACGAGTGGAGCTCTGCTGCACTTTGCCAGAACTTCCCAGCAGCCCAGACGTGACAGCTCTGAGCTCCTGCCTGGGGAGGAAGGAAGCAGTGACAGGAATCCACTGCATGTGACAGTCTGGGACAGTCCTGGGGGGGATTTGGTGCTGTGGGAACAGTGGGGTCACCAGATGACCTGGTTTGTCTCAAGGAAGAAAACCCCATGTTGCTGGAACCACGTGCAAGGCCACGGGGAGCCCAACAAAGATTTAAACACTTCCATTTCTGAGCTACAGTCAAATCCTCCCCTCCTGCCACCACCTCTCTGGCCTTGCTTCATGGGCTGGTCACTGCAGATGCACCCACAAGTGTGAGAGATGGAGATGGAGACAGCACCAGGGCAGGAGCAGCTCCACCAGGGCTCTGTCCCAGCAGGGAACAGCACCAGGGCAGGAGCAGCTCTCAGCAGTGGCCCATCCTCACCTGCCCACTCCTCTGCTTGGCACAGGATGCTGCAGGTCCCTGAGCAGCCCTGGAGCCAGGCTGGCGTGGGAAGCATCAGAGGAAACAGGGATGTGAGCTTTGCCATGCAGGTCACATCCTCTGAGCATCAAACACTCCCTGCATTTCCACTGGGGAAAGGCCACACCAAAGGCAGCTCAGCTCTGCTAAGTGAAACAATCCCAGGAGGAAGGAAAGACCAGAGAGTCCGGGCATTTCCCAGCAATCTGGGATAGAGGCTGTTGGGAAACCACGGGGAGCATCACTGACAAGAAACAACAATGACTCCACCACCTCCTGGCTCCTGCCCAGCTGCCCTTCACGCGCGGCCCCGCGGGGTGTCCAGAGCAATGGGGTAAAACCTCTGGAAGGCCAGTGCTAAACTGGTTGTGCCAAACTGGGATGAAGCTCAGGCCTGTGCCTGGGCTGGGCCCCACAGCAGGGGCCGTTGGCAGCCAGGGGGGTTGGAGGCTGGAGGAGGGGAGGAGATAATCTGCCCAGCACTGTCCTGAGCTGCACACTGAGCTTATCAGTGCCCGTGGGGCCGGGCTGTAGGCACGAAGGGCCAGGGCAGCCAGGAGCCAGCACAGCTGAAGGGTCTCAGAGGGGTTTTGCAGCCCCTCCATTTGCTCTCCAAGTCACAAGAAAGAGTCACCACGTGCAGATCCCCCCAAGGACTCCCCCGGGACCTTCCCTCAGTCCAGCAGGTGCCGGGGAGCAGAGCTGAGCGAGACCCAAACATTTTGTGCCCACAGCACAAAGCCCTGGCAGGACACACTGCTCTGTGAGCACATCCTGGGGGGAGAGCTCTGCTGAGACACTCTCCAGAGCAGTCAGTGCTCTTGAGCCCTGTGAGGATGATTTATTTATTATCTAAATTACACCCCCCCCGAGCCTTCCCAGTGAGCCCATAACTGCCCAGCACACACAGCACTGGGGGGCTGGAGTGGGGGGTCCTCATCACAGACCAGAGCCAGCACAACCCTGTCTCCTGCTCTGAGTTAACCTTCCTTTGGCCACTCAGTTTGGAGCTTGGTCTCCAGCACATTCACATCCAAGGAAAATTGCAGGGGGAGACAGGAGGGGAATAATGAGGGAGAAAGGGAATTGAGAGCTCTAATGCCACAGATGAAGGTACCTGAAAGCCTCAGCCTGAAGGCAGTGTTTGAGGGCAAGGACAGCAGTGTCCTGCTCCTCCAGGACTGCAAACATCCCGCTTCCCGGAGCTTTCAGCTCCCTCTTTCCAAGTCCCAGCACTCCATGCAGGAATGAGGCCAGTTCTCACCATGGCTGGCATTTCCCGTTGCTGCCAGTGCCTCCCAAACCTCCTGCCTCAGACTCTGCTCCCAGCCAGGGGCTCTGCTCGCAGCCCCTCTCCCAAAGGCAGGAGGAATCTTGATCCCAGCACCTGCTCCAGCACCAGGCTCTGGACATAAGGCTCAGCCCTGGCCTGGCTGCCATGCAGGGACAGTTTCTGCACACCCCGGGAACTCCAGCTCCCTGGCAGCGACCGAACCAACCCGTTACAAAACCAGAAGGATGATATTTAACCCATTGCCCAGCTCCTAAAAACGCATTGAAAAGAAGACAAAAACAGAAGGAAAAACACTAACCAGCATGTAGGCAGCTTCCCCCTCCGTGAGGAGCAGGGGGTGCCCAACACCAGGCTCTGCCAGGGGACCCCAACTCTGCGCTACCTGCTCATCCAGGACAGGCTCTCCCGACCGCCCTGCAGCCCCGTTCCCGGGCTGCTCCCCCTAACAGACAAGCCCTTACCTCTCTTAAAGGACCATCTCTTCTTCCAGCGCTTTGAGAAGGAGGGCCAGGAGTGGTTGAGCAGTGAGTCTGACATGGGGGAGCCCAGCACGAGCGCAGCCCGGGCAGAGCCGGCAGCGCAGAGCTCGGCGCTCCCAGCAGCGCCGGGGCTGGCAGGGGGGGAGTGGAGGAGCCAAGTGTTTTGTCAGAAGTATCAGCTGATGGAAGCTGTAGCCAGAGAGAAATTCCTGGTCTCTGGCTTTCCCACCTGGCTGGCAGGGGCGGGGCTTTCTACA